AGAAAGGAAGGATAAAAAAGAAGGAAAGAAATTGTTTAAAAACCAATCATTTGTAGTTTTTAAAATCAATTGGCCATAGCATTAAATTGTGTGGGAAAGACACAAAAAGTCAGAACAAAATCTTCGCCATCAGTTGGTGAAGTGAAGCTAAGGTTCCAATAAATGGCCAAGAATCAATCTTCCATCATGATGTGTATGTCCACCGTCTCATTGTAACAACTCCTACGGCGACTGATAAAGTTGTTAGTAATTAATATTTGATGGGATACTACGCTATTGATTAATTTTTGGACTTGTAAAAATTTATTCTTCAAAAATAATATAAATGCGCTCCTAAATAACTTGATTGCTGACGAGACGCTTTAGAGGGTGCGTACGATGTATTTGCAACATACCTAATGGATGGAGTAGAAACACGAACCCACTCCCAAATTAATTTAGCAGCACAGAAAGTTTTTGTGTACGTCGACCGCAGGATATATATCTTGTGGGTTCACTTCAAAACCTTATATTTTTTCTGTTCTAAAATAATATTTATTTTCTTGCTATAATAATCAAAATAATAATTTTAGAACAGAGAACATATAAAATTTGGGGTGCACTTAAGCCATGGAAAAAAAAACCTTGAAATTATACAAAGATAATGTATATATGTAGTAACTGAATTTGTTCATATCCGACATAGAAATTACAAGCGTTGCAGCTCGTATAAATTTCACCCGTGAAATGATGGCTTATGAGTAAACAGAATTCTAACTTAAATAAATACTCCCTCCCGTCTTTATTATAAGACATTTTGATTTGGTCTTAAGTTAATACGACGAATATAAAAATATATTTTTAGGATTTTTGTCCAATTAAAAAGATATCTTTGTGTTCTCTTAATTATTAAGAAATATTCAATTAAAAATACATCTTATGTGAAATCTAAGACAAAATCAAAATGTCTTATAATAAAGACCGGAGAGAGTAGATACATAGTATTGGTGTAGTTATTTTTTTCTTATTGACGACACTCTAACACGTTATTTAGCGTGCAAAAGGTGTGAGAAAATATCTCTTCTAAAAGATCTTATTAGCATTATTAATACGCCACCCCACGACTTTACGTTACCCTCTTCCCATGCATTAGACTCCTAGTCTTACTAAGCAACACAAATCTGGTGACTCCTTTCGGTAATAAAGTGTTTGCATTAATCATCGCTATGTGGATTGATATCCCTAAGGATTTAAGCAACTTTCATGACAATTACGGAATTATAGAAAGAAGAGGAAGTATTTTTTCCGTCCCAAAATATGATCACTCATTTTAGAACATTACCAACTTGATAATCTGTCGTAACTTTCTCGAAGTAATATAAAGTTGCGAAGAATTTTGTTTGAAACCTTATTTACATCAAGGTGACGTGGAAACGAACTAGTGTATATTTTTGCTGAAAAGCTGGTGGAGCTAAATTTTAATTGGGTGGTCCAAGACTCCAAATAATCGACAGGCCAATTGACTCAGTTGGCCAACCCATCTCGTTGTCTTTGGTCCAGCAACCATTACTAAAAGACCAATTCAACAGAAGCAATAAGCATTAGAATTAGAGGTTTCAGGCTTAGGTTAGAGTGACTAAACATTACTAAAATTAGAGTGATTTAGTTGATCGAGATTTGAGATTTAAGGCATATGAGATATCAGCTGCAAATCAAAGGACTGACTGAAAAGTGAAAAAGGTCAACAAAATAACAAAACTAATGTAATGCAAGTGGCCAATCGACATATATTTACCTAGGGTTGTCTAACGATCGAGACTCTCTTTTTTTTTCTTATTTTTTTCAAAGGGTAGATTTTGATTATTTTCATTTTTTTTTTGTTTATTATACTATGTAATCTTTCACCCGTAACCCGAAAAAAATAACCCTTAGTCCTAAAATATATAAGTTCGAAAGTGATTGTGAATGATATATGTATTAACACAAATTATATAATTTATAAGGAGTAATTGGATTGTATCATACTGAGTGTCACAAGAAAGTGGCACAGAGGATCCTGTGCCCAGACTTTTTCTAGACTTGCTCAAACACAAACCCTTAATTGGGCTAATTAGTTTACGTAGAAAAATATATCATACTATTCCTTCCGTCCTGTAATTATTGTCCAGTTTGAGATCATTTCGAGTTCAAATTGTATTAAAAGTGAAATCTCAAACTGGATAATAATTTTGTAACAAAGGGAGTATAATTCTTACATGTCAATGTATAGCTGATTCACTTCCTACTCCTTCCATGCAAAAAGTGAAACTATAATAATGGGCCAAAAAGAAAAACAGAAAAATGACAGAGAAACAAAAGAAATGAAGGCTTGGTCATCAAAATTTGATACATACCGACCAGTATGTATAGATGTTTACTGAGTTCACAATTTGAATAGAATTTTTAACATATACCAAATGTTGGCTTCTTCCCCGGCATACCTAAAAAAGAAAATAGTTTTATGTGATACTGTATATATACGTACGCCATTCCTCCGTTTACTGCGCTGATGGGATCGATGCTGTTGAGTCAGATTTGCGTATAACGAAGTTAAAATGTTTGATCCGGTTATTTAAGGAAAGTGTAAGTCAGATCGTATTGTTTCCCAATTCCATGATGCTTAAACAAATGGACACTTCTTTTTCCAATACATTTAATTCGTTGCTTTCTTGCTGAATGATGATGATGGTGATGATGATTCCGATTCCTTGTTATTTACAGATTGTGTGTAGTTAGTACAGAACACTTAGCTGAAATTCTCAAAGAGACTGATTCAAATTATGATGCGTGAATGAAAGCATCGTGAATTATGGTAGTTAATGTAGCAAATACTCTAAATTCAGAAACAAAAAGACCAAAAAAAAAAATGTAAAAGAAGTCACATAAGGTCTACTACTATAGTCAAAATGAATAAGTCACATGTAACTCAATTGCAAAAACTGACAATAGAAACGAACCTATGAAGTGAAGTCAATGCAAACCTACTTTCTTGTCACATTTCAGTACTCCATTCTGTTAAATTACTCAAATATAGATTATTTTACATGATAGTGAAAGAGTATATACTATCTTAAAAAACGAATTACTCCCTCTGGTTTTCCGATTTAAATTTAATTTAAACTTGTCCTTCCTAAATACTCCCTTTCATTTCAATTTATAGGTCGTTTTAGATTTGGAAAGATTTTTTAAAATGTAAGTCGTTTTACAAATTCTAGGTAAATTAATGACTTTTTTTCAACTTTACTCTCAATAAATGATACCAATCTATTTTTATTTAGTCTTGCTTGTAGTTCCAATGTAATTCATTGGAGTAATACAAATATTTAACACATAAATTAATTGGTAGATGATTGTCTTCTTAGTTTACGTGCAAAATCTAAAGTGACTTACATTTTGAAATGGAGTGAGTACGACTAGATGGGAGCCTTAAAAATTAGAGAACGAGCATTTTTTTTATCAGAGAGAGAGAGAAAATGTTGAAAAAGCTCGCAATACAACAAGACAAAATTCATGTAACCATTTCCTTCTGTCGAAATGGACGAAATTTTTTTTGACTTCGGACAGGCATAAAATTAAGAGCCGTATCACGTTAGTACTCTTTTAAGTTTGTAATATATTGTGATTTGTCAACTCTGTTGGGGTGACGTTAATGTACGTTGTTAGATACCGACCAGCACATTGTTCACGAACTGAAGCAGCTAGCAGAACACTTTTTAAGTCGAGATCTCGTGAATTGGGTGCATATTGAATATTGGTTTGTTGCCTTCTTTGCCGGCATCAAAAAATGGTCAGTTTTTATAACTGTGCCATCCTCCTCTCGTGCAGTTTCTGTGCTGCACTGTGTTATGTTTCCCGTCAGAGTGTTAGTTGTTTCAGTGTCACAGCCCAAATAAATAAATAGAACTAAATGGGGTTTTTTGCATTGCAAATGTATGTTTTCTTTTCTCACATCTTAAATGACTACATTCTGACTGGGAGTCATGAGTAGTAAATTAATGGTTCTTTTAGATCAGATCAGATTGCAGGAAATTAAAAGGGCAAAAAAAAAAAAAAACAGGGGGACAGAACTGAGTAGTGATATGCATTATACGCCTCTTTCCCAGAACTACAATTTCCCTTTATTTTTAAATTTTTTATTCTTCTGAGTCTTCTGACCAATTAGGCGTCAATGCCCCTCTTGAGATCAAAACAGAACAGATTAAACACGGAACCCAAGAAGATGAAGAAGTTGATGATGATGTGAAGTGGGCTTTAGGACTTATAATGGGCTGAATGAGCGCAATCCTGCTTGGGTCAGCTATGCCACCAATTTTGGTCTTGCGACTTAGCATCCTGAATTGCTTTAGGTTGATGATAGTTTGTATACTTTACTGATTTCAATTGTGACACTTTATCAGTTCATTGTCTTATAGTACATTTTTTTATATTTTTTTTGAATAATAAAGGTTAACAATGCGGACAATTAAAATGATATCAGCACAATTAGATAGCGGAGTTCATCACAACATATTATCTGGTCCAAAGTTACGGCCAAACTTTTAGCACCAAAATGGATATTTTTTGAAATCAGAAGGGGAATTTGATCCTCTGAACCCTTGATGCATAGCATAACTATGTTCCACTGGGCGCTAGTAAGTAGTTTATAAATATACTCCGTCTTTAAGTAAGATGGATATTGGTATGCTTTTTGTCTTAAAACGATAGTCATTTTGGTAAAAAAAAAAAGAATTCAAAGTTTATCTATAGGATCATTCATACAAGGCACAAATTCGAACGATCAATTATGTTTAGTACGTATAGTGTGTAGCATGCCCTTGAGATAATGCGTCCCAAAGACTGACATGACATTAAGTCAATTTTCTTGTATCTACAAGTTATATGCTCATCCACTTCGTTAACATTTCATCGTAGCTTTTGGTTAAAATTCTTTAAGGCAAACAAACAGCCAATTGATATACCAAGATTCTAAACCCTAGATGTAATATATACGTCAAATAAGTGCACTTTGAGGTCAGTGCTTACATAAGCTATACATACATTATTACTCCAAACTATTAGTAGCCCTTCAAATCATTTTGATACCCCCTGCCCCAAACAACATTATTTTCTTTAGGTATGACTTTCAATAATGCAAAGCTATGCACCGCACCATGCTCTCTCCCACATGGGGTATAGCCTTTAAAGAAACTCTAGAAGGGGGACATACAGGAGAAATGCCAACACCACAACACAATAATTTTCACATCCAACACAGTGCCAACAATTATTGCCCTCATGTAGCTTTCTGAATTCAAGATACCTTAAAGAAAACCAATCGCTTATGATCCCGTTTCTCTATCTTCATTCAATTTCATTAACATCTCTCCTTGCAGTTAAGTCTCAATGGCCTAATGTACCCATTTTGCTGATCTAGATATATTAATTACAATGTAACATGTCTGTACCAAATGGATGAAGATGCAAAGGTGGAAAATTAACTAGGATCTTTGAGTAACAAGTGAGTCACACACAACAACATAAGGTCTTCGGATAAATAAATATGTTTTGACACACGATACAAATTGTACACACTAATAATAATGAAAACAGTAAAATCCGCAGGGAGTACAATCCGTTAAAAGGAGGTTTGAGAGTTCAAATACTAAATACAAAAGCAGACGACATGACATTAATTACGTGAAAAGGAAAACACAATGACAATAAGATAAACATCTACCACATGATATGCTGCCCCAAAGACACCAATTACGCCTTGGGTTAAACAGATCTTGCAGATGACCACTTTTAACATGTTCCACTAGTCCCTTTGGTAGCACTCATGTAGAAGATGTGACTAATTTCTGCTCCGAGACTTCTCAACAGCCCTAGGAGCTGCACACAATTGGAAGCTGAGTTATGGACAGATTAACAAATTTGATTCAAGTCGTGCGTGACATAAATTATAAACATCAGACTTGAATTCTAGGATGTAAAGGACAATACTGAAATGAACGTCTGTTTTTGCAATTAAACAATACTCAAATGAGAAAATTGGAACTCTTATTCCATACAATGGAAAAGGCTGCCTACAGATATAGGATGAAAAGAAAACACCACGAAGTAAAACAAAATATTCCATATAAAAGAGAGCAATATCATTCCTCGAAAACAACGGATAATGTAGGACATTAAATAGCTCAAATGAACACTACTCTCTATACAACATCCTTTGCACGTGTAATTTGTGAAGCCCATCTTCTACTTTAATGCATGGCTGTGGGCTTGGAAATGGAAACAAGGAAAAAAAATAAAAAGAAAAATCAGCATTGATGCAAAGACAACAAATATCGTAAATGAGGAAGGTATTATTTAGAAAACATAGAAAAGTCCAGTAATCGATTTCCTCAAAATAACCATATGTCCATGTGAATGACCGGGGTAAGTAAACAAGTAAAGTATACAAATGCAACAGTAGCTAGTGATATTCCTTGAAACTTTAGAGTGCCTAGACAAATTGGAAATGAAAGAGCACCTCATACAACTTGCAATGAGTTCAAAATTCTTGCACTGTAGCATACTAAATGTCAAGACAAGAAAACATATACTAACCTAGGCCAATAGCATCGGAACTCTTCATGATTCTCAGCCTCTTGCATGTGTCAGTGAACATACTGTTATAAACAAAAAGTATTAGATGGCAAATACAAATGTCTTCGTACACAGACAAGAGCTTGGTCTGATGCTAAGAATAGCCCACATTGCAGGAATTTCATTACATCAAAACCATGAAGTATGAAGCCACAAAGGAAATTACATCTTGGGAAATATTTCTTGAAAATGGTTTTGCATATGGTGGGGCCTTATTTGACAATCATAAACAAGATAAAGAGTAAGTTTTCCAGGCCAGAAAATTAAGATGAACATCACATCTTGCATTAAAAAAAAAAACAATTTCTATGGTGAGATTTCATAAAGAAGCATAAAAGAGACTTCAAACTACTGTGACACTTTGTAGTCTTACTGATGCATGAAATTTATCCATCTGTAGCTCAACGAAGCAACCCAGGTGATTTAAGTGCATGCTAAAATTAAATCTATGGTATTTGACCGTCATGAGATGTCATAGTAATGCAAGAATTTCTCAAAAAGAAAGTTGAGTTCAAAAAACAGGAAGGTTATCTTTATTTGCATTCAAGTCATAAAAAGGTATACTAGTCCAAAGAAAAGATCATTAACATAAATAATGGAATAGTGCTTACTCCCAAGGGACATCACCGACAAGCATCCAGTCACCATCCTTGTCCTCATATGTGAGAACATACTCTGATCCATTCAGCAAGTCCTTCAGTTTGCTCTCACTCAGACCCTCCCTTGCATCATTTCCATGAGATCCATATTGACCTGAGATGCCACCAAAGACATAGTAGTAGCTGGAGTAAAACCATCTACTTAATTTTCAACAGCAAGCTAGATGTTGCCATTCCGTTTACACATATCTGATTTCTAATATTAACTGTAACATGCTCACCAATGGTAAAACAGCTAAACATCTTCTCAAGGGCAGAAGAGAGCTCCTGATAAGTTCCATACATTCTAACATCAACTTTCCTCAAATAAGGAGCACCATCCATACTAACTTTGACAAATAGAGCACCGGATCCAGCCTTCCCATCAACTTCGTCAGCAATTTTTGAGGTAGAAGCCAGGGTGTTCTTTCTAAAGTTTTTAACTGGTGGCCAACCGACAACTTGTGCCCTGAAATTAATATAGAACAATAAGCAAAGACATTTTTGTTACCAACTCCCATATTCAGAACAAATCTCTTTTAGGCCATATAAAAGGCTTACTTGGGTGCAGGGGCCCCAATATTGTTATTTGTAGCTCCAGCTCGATTAGGGATGCTCTCGTTTGCTGCACGGGTCTTATCCTGAGCAGTATTTTGGGGCACAACTTCTTTCAATTTGGCAGCTTGACCAGAATTCTCTTTTGCAGAGTTCAGCTTGAGCCCAGCATTAAGAGTAGTTCTGGAAGACAACGCATTAACTTCAGAAAATTTGCCCTGTAACACAAATAGAATATTTTCCTTGGTTAGGCCCCTTCCTCACAACCCATAGAGAATATAGTTCCTTCGGTGGAACCAGAAACTTCACCTCTGAGAATCCATCCATAGCATCAGCAAATCCTCTTTTACTGCCTGAAGTAATCGCCCTTTGTGAACTCGAAGAGTTTCCATCCTTCAGAGGATGTAAAGGAAATAATGGTTTCTCATCAAGTTGTGAGCTCTTCACAAGGAAGTGATCTGATTCCCTCTCGGGGGATTGGGAACCAGGGAGCCCAAGCCTGAGTTCTGTTGCCTTCAAATTCATTGAGCTACCATTACTCCCTTCTGACGAGTTGGAAATGGTGGAACTATCCACAGAAGAGCAGTCGGACAACCCCATGTAGTTTCGCTCTTTGAACACAGATCCATTCTGTCGAACACTTTCTAAGGAGGCGGAAGAAGCCAACAAGGTCACATTACTCTGACCCTCTTCCTCCCCAACACCAAGCAGTGGTGGAGACATCAGACTTCTAAATTATACTCCACTTTCTTGTTTGTCTTAACCCTCTGAACCTGCCCAACCCAATACCAGAAATATCAAACGGCTAAAACATAAAAGCATAGAGCCAATTCCTAAGATCAGAACTGAAAACCCAAAAAAGCGTCATCAAATAGCAAAAGTGCAATCAGCCCAATTTACAGCTTAAACATTTCGTGGCAATGAATATACTGCATCATTCAGTAATCCCAACTGCGAGTTTAGTATGATCTTTTCAGGGTAAAGAAAACGCCCTCTAAGATTTAAGCAATCAAAAATCACAAGCCATCCAAAGTCTCCAACCTCAGCAATTAAGATTACTCATAATCATTCAAAATTTTAAGCTTAAACAAAATGGCATGCCACCTAGGCACCTACCCCCTTACTGAATTCAGAAAAGAGAAAGAGCTCACACTAGCTACAGGGGAAGATATTGAAGCAAAATTTGACCACAAAACTAAAAGAAAGGGGAAATTTTGCATGCCACTTACTATCCAGCACAAGCTATTGACAAAAAGCAACACAAAAATCACCAAAACAGATCTACCGAATGAAGATTCATACAGCACATTATACCCTTAAAAAACCATTCATCTTCAAAATAAATATGAAATTTCTAAGAAAATCAAACCAAATACAGAAGAAATGAAAAGGGACATTTTTTAAGTGAAGCTCACCCGCCCAATGAAGCCTTTAGTGGATCAGCAAGTCGATGAAGAAAGAACCCTTTAAAACAGTGGAACAATGAGTCCCGTATGGAACAAAAAAAACGGTACCAGAAGATTGCAGAAGAAGAAGGCTAATATGCAGATTTTAGCACAGAAAGATGAAGAAAGACTGTGAATTTGTTGTTGCAGAGTGAAGAAAGAACTGAGGGGGAGGAAGGAAAGGGGAGAAGAACTGGGAAAGATAGAGGGAGAAAGAAGAGAGAAGACTAAGGACCCTCCATTTGGCACAAGGCTACAAAAGCTAATTTGCTGTCCGATGTGAAACTCTCAATGTCTATTAAAAAACCAACTTCAAGAAAAAAAAAATGGCAATTATAAGAGAAATAGGTAATTTTTTTCTAAAATAATTCTTTTTATCATTGAAAATTTGATAAATTCCTATGATGGTTTGAAGGAGAAATAATAAATCATAAATTGGGAAGAATCAAAACGAGAGAAAAAAAAGAAGAAGAAAAGGTGGACAAAAAGGATTTAGTAAACTATTTTCCTTTTGTTTTTAATCCTAAAAGAAGTAAAAAAGAACGTGTGATGTAAGGAATCAATTTGGAATTTATAAGTCTCTAATATGTTTTTTTCTAACGAAATTGGAAAGTAAACAGCATTTTTGGCTTTGTCCTACCTTAAACCAATTAATTTTTTTTATAAAAAAAAAAAGAGAGGGAAAAAAAGTATTATATGAAACTTTGTTGGAAAAATCTGCCAATGTTGAGTGATAATCAAGTTAGAATTCATAACGATAAAAATATATTTTCAACGTTGCAGAACTTCACAAAATTTGTAAGCTCAAAAAGAGCAAAAATCAAGTTTTCAAAAATGGTAAGCTTAAAATTCTAATTTCGCTGTGAAGGAAAGTAAATTGTTTTTTTTTTCTTTTTTGAAGTTTTAGTAAATGGGAAAAATTAGCAGCATATTTTCTTCTTACTTTGCATTATTAGTTGGCAAGAATGATTTTATTGATCTGGAGTTGTCTTACTGGCCTAATTAATATTTTTACATGGATAAAAACAACAAATTGCAGGCCTAAAAAGTTAAAAGCACCGGACTTTTTTTTCCCCCCTTCTTTTGTATCAGTCATTAGAGAAAGAGTTTTTAATTTTCTAAAGTTTATTGATTGCCGAACATCATGATTGTATTTGTAGTAAAAGATAGCCAGAAAAAGGAGGAGAAAAAAAGAAGAACGGTTCATTTTTAGTGCTTGATTAACTTTCTGCACCACTTTGGCGCTTTCAATAATATGTTTTTTCTGCCACTATTTAAATTAAATTACGTGGTAGTACGAGATTAGTAAACAAATGACAAAACCTTTATATTGATCAACAGACACTTATTTCATTAACTAAATTGTAAACATCTCAATAGCTGAAATAATTAATCTTTTATATGTTTTGATTGGATGAGGTAAATGGTAACTGGCCGAATCTTTAAAATTGTATAGTATTTAAAAAAATTTGAACAATCGACTTATGATTATTTGTAAGCGAGTTCCCTCTATTGAACCAAAACGTTTTATAGTTATTATGTATATTTCAATAGTTTGATGGTGATAAAATTTTATTGCTCGTCTTTTGACATATGATAAAGATGGGATGTACTTGATGAGAAGAACCAAACAAGATAGAATTACCCATCCACGGGTTATAGTTTCATAAGTTGCCAAAAATTGTCAACTTATGCATCAATCTAATCAAATGAAAAGAATTGGATCCATCCAAAATATATATGTTGGTAAAACACATGACCTTTCATTTCATTTCATGGTAGTGCCCTTTTCCCAAAAACTTATTTAATAGGATGTTTGCCTACCAAAATGTTCCCAATCTTTTTGGGTAAAAGATTTTTTTTTTTTTTCTTTTCCATCAATGTGAAACACTTCCACATTCCATTTCCCATGCATGGGACTCTATTTTTTTTCACCTTTAATTGAATCAGATGACACTACTGCTGCTACTACTACTCGAAGACCAAAAAATTGTTGCTAAAATGGTGTAATTCCATACCAAACAAGAAGTGTGTGTGTGTGTGTGTGTGTGTGTGGGGGTGGGTGGTGGAGTGTACCACCAAACTAGAATTTTTTAGCACTAGAGAAAATTCAAAATGTGTACCACAAAAACAAAACAAGAGTAGCTATTGAAATTGGATTTGACCAGTAAAGTTAATATGGTAGACAAAGAAAACCAGTCCTTGTCTAGCCCAATTTAACAAGTTTCAACCATCATTATTTTCCTAGGATTCACCTTCTTCTTCTTCTTCTTCTTTGTTTTTTTGGCAAGTATCAATAATCAAGTTACAATGCTTAAATCGCGCTAATTTTTTCCAATAAAACAATGTTGACATTACTGTAATTTGCAGCGCGAATTTGATCATTCATACTGTTTTATTATTATTATTATTTATTTATTTATTTTTTTTTGGTTTTCTTACAGGATGAAATAAATTGTAGCAGTGGTTTTAATTGATGTGGAATGATGCATGAAAAAAAAAAAAAAAGAAAACACCCATAATAATATTCATGTCTCATAAATGCTTCAAATTCACATGCAAAACATACATTGGCCCCACAGAGATGCTGTCAGATGCTGTAGGGGGTCACCGAAAGATGGACCCATTATCCCCATTTGCAAGGGTGGAAATGTGAAAGACGATATGCCAAATTTTTTTTTTTTATGGGACTAATAATTATGACAGTAAATTGATGGCATCTTTTTTCTTTTCCTTTTTTTTTAATAGCATTATAAAAATGCTAGTATAATCAAATGCTATATTATTATATACGAAAACCATAGTCAAAGTATTTTCGTGCTGCAATTTAGTCAAAAGGCAAAAACGGATCCAATACACATTGCAAGAGAATTGGCAGCCAATAAATATTTCAATCAATTTGGGAGAAAGAAATTATATATATTTTTTCCATTTAAACCTGCCAAATTTTGATCAAAATGAGAATCATTCGCATCGATTAGAGCTAGTTGGCAAGAGCTAAAACGGGAAATATAACAGAAATTAATAAAACTTCCAAAACTGAGTACAACAGCTTGTTGACATAGTCACGTGGATGGTTCAAACTTGAAACTAAGTCACTAAACTCATTCATGTTATTGGTTTATGGTTTACGTTTTTTTCCTTAAAAATATATATATATATCTTAATATTTTAGTGACTGAATTTGATAAAGACAATTGCTAACTTTCGAATCAGTCACCATTTCTTCTTTGCTTTAATTTTTGTAATGTTCAATTAATTTGGTTTGTGACTACAATCTCTTCATCGAATTAAAAAGTGGATTAGGTGAGCCGCGGGGGGGGGGTGTTGTGGGAAATGAATAACGCTCGAAGGGCAGGCAAATCAAAGATAAAAGATGATTTTTCTGTGTATACTTTGCTGCTTAAATGTTGTGCTTTATACTTTTCAAATAACACAATAAAGAGGTCATGAGTTCAAACCCTCTCTCAAGGGTGTCTAGACGAATGAGGTGTTGGTTCGGTGATAAAACCATCCTTAGTCTCAAGAGGAGGTTATGAGTTCAAACTCTCTCTCCAATAAGCGTGAGTGAATGACTTTAACTTTGGCTATTAATTTCTCTAGAGTGTTTGTTATGGTAAATCCACTCATGAACTTCTAAATTCGTACTCGAGCTTGACACCCCAGACTTACCTAGTGTGATTTACCTCTTACTGTAGTTTGCAGACTATTACAGTGTGCGTGAATTTACCTATCTTTGGTGGAGTTTCCGGTGTTACCAAACAATAACACAATAAGCTCATGTCAAATTTACATCGTTTTGTGAATAAAAACACAATAAAACAAAAGGGGCAAATGATTTTAACCATCAATGAAATTCTTTTCCTTTAAAGAAGTTAATACGAAACTACTATTATTATTGCTAGTGAAAATGAACGTTAATATACCATTACATGAAAAACAATTATAACTCGTTTGAAAAACGAGAATATGGCAATGTTATAATAAATGAAGATTTAAAATTACAAAGTAAATAGTAACCTCAAAATATTAAAATCGAAAATCCAACCGTACAATAATAATAGTTACATGTAGTCCTACGCCAACCGTCTCAACAATATCTAATCACTTATTGATTTATATAAATTTTTGAATAATCAACTTATAATTAAGGATAGAATCATTTATTCCACTCCATCACAACCCATTCAGAATTTAAGGTTAGTGAACAAAAATAAAACGAAAAAGTAAGGTTTAAGATTAAAAGTGGAAGATGACTTTTAGGAGGGGCTCAAGAATAAGTAGAGTGAGAGTTACGCATTCAAGAAGAAGATTTTCACTCAATTAAAATGGGAAGAGAGGTTAAGTTTAATTAAATTAGCCAATTAGGGGAGAAGAAAGAGAAAGAAGGGGAGACAAAGGCGAAACAAGTCGGGAAGGGAAGATGATGCGGTTGGGAGACAAGAAAGCGGCTTTTACAATTTCGTTGCCGGGTTTCGACATCGACATCTAACCTCCCCCCTTTCTCTCTACTCCGCTTTCTAGTATTTTCTTACTCTCACTTCTGTTTGCGTGTACCCCACATCCGTTAATGATTTTCATCCGACGGTGAACGGAGTGATTAGGAGCTGTCACGCGCTACGTGGGTAGGGAATCGTGGGAGGACATCGATGGTTTCTATGGTTTTAGAAGGAAAGAAAAAAAAAAAGGGTGTTGGGGGGATTAATGATGGAAGAGGAGGATTAAGGAGAAGGAGAGTTTGCACGCTTGGTGTCTTAAGCATGGGATGACATATATACCATTACTACACACTATCTTTCTCTGATGAACCTCTGAATCAAATATCCTCATCATCATTCATCATGCTATTACTACTTTACCGTATTTTGCACTAGTTTTTGGTAAACGTCATTCACATGTCATTCTTTGTTATTTCCCGTCCATAAATCACCCCTTGTAATCACTTACAAACTACAGTTATAAATGGAGGTTTGGATACCAAAATTAAGAATAATGACATAGTTTTGCCTCAATAAACTCTTGAAGATATTCATGGTTTTGTTTCATTGTTTTACATTTACGTGCTCTAATTTATGTTACTTTAGTAATTTATGTGAAATAATCTATGTTTACCGTATTTTGCACTAAATAGATTTTATATACTCCTTCCGGTCCTTATTATAAGGCATTTTGACGTTTCCTAAATTTCACCTAGTACATATTTTTAATTGACAAAAAAATTTTAAAATTATATTTTGACATTCGTTGTGTTTTCTTAATTGTTAAGAAATATTTTTAAGATTTTTTCTTCGAGTAAAAATGTATATTATGTTAAACCTCAGATAAATCAAAATGATTTATATTAAAGACCGGAGGGAGTACTACTAAGTGCAGTTACTTTTTGAATGTATGACTTACGTTTAATTTTTTCTTCCTTTTTATTGTAAACACAATAATGTGCATTACGAACGTAAAAATGATTAAATAATTAGAATAAAAGGAATCAATCTTCTGTTTAGGTGCGTTTGGTTACGATA